TCCTCGCCAAGTCCGGGATTGTCGGATAAGTCTAAGGTGGTGAGGGCCGGAAAGGTGCGGAGTTGGGAGCAGGGAAAAGCAAGCGAGTGTGCTTGCGCAATATTCAGTACTTTGAGGCCCGGCTTTAGCCGCTGCTGCAGGTCCGCGAGCCAGGCACCTCCGGTTGCCCACGACACGTTCCGGAGACTGAGGGTGGAGAGCGCAGGCCCAGTGGCTTCCAGAAGAAGCGGCGGCATCGCGCCGGTTACCTCCAGGTTCTGGAGCGTCAGTTCCTTGAGGCGGGAATATGAGAGCGCACGCAGGAAGGCGACCAGCAGCACAGCAGGAACCTGTGCAGAGCCCACTGTGAGCCGCCGCAAGCGCAGAGCCTTGACCATGTCAGCATACTGCTTCGGGTCGGCGTCTGCGCCCTTTAGAAATTGTTCCAGGCTGCGGCCGCCGCCGTGGATCTCCACCTCGACGGCAGCCATACACTGGAAGGCGCTGGACCAGTCGGGCTGAGGATCCGTGAAGTTGCAGAAGCAGCGGACATCGTCGTCGTCCACTTCGCAGGGTTCTGGTGTGGTCTCAGAGACGCACAGCATTGGCAGCAGCAGCAGCAGCAGCAGCAGCAAGCAGGGCGCGCGCACCTGGGAAGAGAGCGGAGGTCAGGGCGGCCCCAGCTAGTCCCTGGGGTTCTTCGAGTAGTTCCCTTTCGTCCCCAAGACCGTACACTCACCATGGTCGATTGGTGCTCGGAGACTCTGTCCTGGCAAGCTCAGGGAAGGGCTCTGGCTTCTTTCCCTGTGCAGCGGCACTCCCTGGTTTCTAGGCTCCCCACACGTTAATCTGTCCTCTTTGGCGGCCTCTGAGAGTTTATGTAACCCTGGGGTGTCACTCTGTTACTTCCTTTGTGAACCCTGGCCACTCCCCACCTCTCTGCCACCCAACCGCTCTATGCACTACGGTTCTGGGAAATTTTGCAATGAGGGATTTTGCCAGGAGAGGGACTTTTGCGGGAAGGATATTGTAGGGCATCTGGAGTGCAGTGCTCCAGGCAGTGCCCTGATGAGTCAGACACCCCAGGCTGGTTTGATAGTTATTGAGAAAGAAGGATCCCCAGTGCCGCAGGCTAGGACTCTTACCTCCCTCTGCCTCTATCCCAATGACTCAACTGGGGTACTTTGCTTAACTTTTCTCTAGTTTTGGTGGCTACTATGAACTTACCAACACACCCAAATCCAATCACCTGAATATCCTCGGATATATAATTGGATATTTTGTGGAAGGCATTGCAAATTTCATCTGTTGACTCCAAGGGATAGGATGAGGTTCGAGAGAAGGAAGTAGGTCTGAAGAACAACTCTCTTCCTTTTTTTTTTTTCTGCTGACTTGTTCTTTTTAAAACTTTATTAAGAAAGTAATAGCTTTCTTAAAAGTAGAAAGAAGTGTTTAACAGAGACACATTGGCCAAGTGGCTCCACCTCTTACAGTTTCCATGTTCTTATCCTGAAATTGAGAAACAAGGCATTTCTAACCCAGTTTGCCCCTTTGCACCTAGCTCTCCCTTCCCTTCCCCCCAACACAATTCCTGTGTCCTAGAAAGGAAAGGCTGGACCAATGTTGAATGAGGATTAATTAGTAACCTACCTGTTTTGCCAAGAAAAAAAAGCAAGTGTCCCAGAGGGTGGTGTAGGGGCTATGCCTCTATAACTGCCCTCGCAGTTCTGCACCTGTGGATTCTGGGGAAAGAGCTATACAAAAAAAATGTTTGAATTCTCACTTCTCCTATTTTTCAGGAATGGCTTCACATCTGTCCTCATTCCAAACAGGGAGGCTTCATCAAGCCAGACTGCTCTCTGTGTGCCTTGTTGGTCATGCCCTTATACCCTGAGCCATGCCCCAAAGCCAGGCCAGATCACTGGTGCATCCTTGAGGACCAAGATGTGAGTATAGCTCAGTGTTGAATACACTGACTCTGCAGTCAGACAGCCAGGCTTGGAATCCCAGCTCTACCACTGAGGTTGTAAGATTTGGGCAAGTTTCTGGGCCTCAGATTTCTGCGCTCCTGCTTTGTAAAATGGACCTAATGGTAGTACCTGTCTATGACTACAGAGCCACATCTATTAGAGTACTCCTGATTGTTATGTTCTTCATCAAAGCCTCTGTATTCAGAAGACTCAGGCCACTGAAGCCTGGCTCCTTAGCAAACCCCATCATTTTGGGGAAAGCACTTTGTGGTGCAAATGAAGAGGGGCAATGATGGTTTGCAAAGATCCCCAACTCACACCTTGATTCAACAAATATCTATCATTTGTCTACCAAATGTCAGGACTGGTACAAAACCCGGGGATGCAGACATGGTCATCACACAGTCCCTCAAGTACTCCAGGAACTGGAAGAGGCAAACACAGACCCAGAGCTACAGTCCATAGAGAAGAGGACTCAGAGGGGAGAAACCAAGGACTTGTGGGAGCTGTGGAGAAAGGAACAGTGAGCTCTGTATTAGAGAGGACATGGGACTGTTGTTTACAGGATTGACAGTCTTGTTGGGCAGATAAGTGCAAAAAAAATCAGGGTGGGCAGCTGTAACTCTCTGAGCAGACATTTTGCCTGGTGACTTGTCTTACCTTCGCCACCAGGAGAAATATGTAGGTGTTAAAAGCACCCTGTCCCATGACAAAGGAGATAAGACCCAGACCCTACCTCCAGCCAGAGCATGGTGCATAGCAGGTGCTCAGTAAATGCTTGTCCCAGAGCTGGATGGATGTTGAACCTGGAGAGATGTGGGGGCAGGATGATGGTCTGCAGATATTTAACTAGGTGATTTGTGGAAGAGATTGAAGGCAACTGACTCCAAGAGATGAAATTAAATTCTGGGGAAGGAAGTTGGGGTTTGAAAGTGCCAAATCTTAACCACTAGACTACCAAAGGAAGTTGGTTTGAAGCACTGTTCCCTTTCCTGGATTTGCTCTTTTATTTGCCTAAGTAATAGCTTTCTAAAAATTAGAGGCCTCCAGGGAAAGCTATTAGGTAAATGTTTTATAAATTACTGTTTCTCATTTTCAGTCATACCTAATGATTTCAGTAGGCTAATGTCCTGTCTTCTTAGGTACACATCAAACCTGGCACACATTAGAAATCATACAAAGTCCTGGATAGTTTTCATTTAACTAATCGATAGAAAAACACTTATTTTCCTATTGTAAGTGTGAAGCTTTTTGATTATTAATAAAAGAATCTACCAACCATCAACAAAATAAAATAAAATAAAAATAAAAATTGGAGGCCTCCAATAGAAATTTTTAAGTGCTACCAACACTCTACTTTCTTGGAATTTTGAAGGAGAGGAGACAACATCAAACGATTACACTGTAACTTAATGACAGCTGTGAAAAGGGTTATGAAGTATACATTGTTATAGGCTCTCATGACAGGGACGCAGGTACAGTAGTTCTGAGTAGGGGACACTGTAATTGAGATCCTGAGGGTGGTGTTAATTAAGGGAAGGGTGCTTATTGGGGGTGGTGGAGCAGAGACAGGGCTCTAGGGAGGGTAACAGCCTGTACAAAAGCCTGGAGAATGAAGAAAGCAAGGGCTTGGAACAAAGAGAAGATCCCAGGAGAGATGAATTAGTTGAGGCTCCCTTCCATTGAAAACTGGAGAGGTATGCAGGGATTAGACCATGCAAGGCTTACTTGGCCACAATTCAGATTTCAGAGGTAAGGAACACAGTTTTTAAATTCACCAGTGTTTCCCCAGTGCCTGGTAGTTAATGGCACTCAAAATTTGGTTTAAGAATTACTTAA